AGATTGTATATGTGCTAGATCATGGCTTGACTAAATATAGTTTCTGCTAACATGGTAATAATGTCATTTTAATTCAAAAATTTAAAGTCATGTTGAAGCTTGAATGAATAAGTTTGGTTAAATATACTTCGTGCCCGTTGTCCTTGTTGCCATCATGTCCAGAAGTGACGCAGGCGTTGTTGGGACTTTTCTGGGTTTTTCTTGTATATTTAAGCAACTGATTTGTTTCATTGCTTTTGACACAAACTTTATAATTTCTGGGTTATAGATGGTATCAGAGCCATGGGAGTAAATATGAAATTATTATTATTATTATTATTATTATTATTATTATTATTATTATTATTATTATTATTATTATTATTATTATTATTATTATTATTATTATTATTATTATTATTAGGGGGGGTTATTATTATTATTATTATTATGCATTAATTACAATTGCTCGTAACATATATAGTTATGAAGCACACCTCTAAAGTTGTATCACACCTTACAACCGATATCTCACGGTTTTTTAAAAGGAATTAACAAAGGTACCGTGACAACCAATGTTTCATTTAAAAAAAAACGAAAAACGGAGATATATCGGTACTCAAGAACCGATTTTTCATTGATAAATCGGTTCTTGAGTACCGATATCTCTCAGTTTTTCCAATTTTTTTTTTTAACGAAAAAATGTGAGATATCGGTACTGGAGAACCGAATTTTTAATCAACAATCGGTTCTCAAGAACCTATATTTCTCGGTTTTTCGTTAAAAAAAATTTGGAAAAACCGAGAGATATCGGAACTTGAAAACCGATTTTGTATTGAAAAATCGGTTCTCAAGTACCGATATCTCTCCGTTTTTTGTTTGTTTTTTGTTTTTTTTTTTTAGTTTTTTTCCCAATGTAGGAATACTATCATGTGCGAGTAATATATCCATTAATAGCATAATAAAACCAACAAAATAAAATACAAATCAATTTGCAATCCAGTTGATCAAGTCCAAAAAAAATAAATAAACCCTATAAATACTATGCATAATGAAATTATCTTCGCAAAATACTACAAAATACAAAATACTACTTCTTCATCGCCGCCCTCCTCCGAAATACCTTACGTGGTGGGTCTGCAGGTGGGGCCGCTGTCGAAGATGGTGCCGATGGTGGCGGTGGTGAAGATGTCGGTGGAGAAGCTGATGAGGATGGTAGGACGGTCGATGGGGTCTCATCAAATAATGATACGATCTCATTCAACGTCGTCCACATTGCATTATGAGCATCACTAATGTCCATTTGACGTACGTAGGTGAGAGTTCCCTTAACCATGTCAAAGATCTTCATTTCCCTTGATTGTGGTGGATCCGGCCCAACATCTTGCGGTGATCGAGCTGCATTGGATCGTGGTGCATGTGGCCGAGATGCCTGAGCGGTACTAAGGCGAGTAAGAGTGCGCTCTCTTAACCAATCCATATACGCAGAAGACGTATCGGGTTGCCCATCAAGTACTGGAGTCGATCTCGCCTCGGCATCCAAGCAACACTCATCCCATCGATCGAATAAACGATCGTGGAATGGGACAAACGCCATTTCAGAATTATCACGTGACCTGTATTTCTTTACCATGTATTGCTTCGCCATAGTTTCGGACATGTAGGGACACCCCGGTATTTATTGGACCCGACTAAACTGGCGCAAGACCCTATCTGGATGGTATGGCTGCAGGAAGTCCAAGCAACATAACATTCCGCTGAACCACGCCGATTCGAGCATCGAGAAACGGTCACGAAGTTTGAAATATGGGTAACATATAACTTGTGCGAATATGTTTACTATTAACTCCTTCAAAAATCGAAAAAAAAAATTATTAACAAACAATTGATAATTTACCTCATCCTGTTTCAACTCGTCTAACATTAAACGCAAATGCCGTGCTCGTTCAACATTTGTCGTCGAATTCTTTGGATACACCCACCGGTTGGCCAAGTACCCCTCAAACTGTGGCCGAAATGTTGTATTGAAGGATGGGAAATGCTCGTAACGTTAACTCCACGCCTGAAAGAGCGTCAAGTATCCGTTCAGTTGCGCAGTTGTAGCCTTCGACGCTTTTCACAATGCACGATATAAGAAGCATAAACACGCGGTTCCCCAAGCATACTCACCAATAGTATCCACATTCTCAAGGAACTGCACCCACTCAATGCTAACCAACAAGCCCGTCTTGTCCACAAAAATGGTGCAACCTAAGAGATACAAAAGATACGCCCTAGTAGCATATAACCTTTTCATCTCACAGTCCCTCGCGGTAATCTTGCCCAAGGTCCGATGTAACCATCCCAATTTCAGTCTCCTCTCCCCAGCTCCCATAGCTTCCTAATCAGGGTATACACCTAGCATTTTTGCAACATATGTCTTCCCGACGTATTAGATTGTCGCACGAAGCTACCGCACGACCAACAACTGGAAGCCCTATCAGTGTAATGACATCATCGAGAGTGATGGTCATCTCCCCAACAGGCAAATAAAACGTGCATGTGGTAGGATGTCATCTTTCCACAAATGCCCTCAATAGATATCCATCTACAGCATTGTACGACGAAGTGACAAGTGGTATCAAACCGGCCCTCGAGACAGCCTCGGAAATGAACGGCGCGCACACCCAATTAACCAAATTCTCATGTGGTTATGGGTTTTGAAATCTCCGCGCTCGTCTCCGGAAAGAATACAATAAGAAATGTGATCCTAGAAGTTTGGGATCAAATCTGCTATTTTTGGACTTGTGGTGCGTTCGGTTGGCTACTCGAAGCACCAACTTCCACGGTCGAGGCCGGTGGGGAGGTAGAGCGAGTGCAGGGGCCGCTGTAGTTGTTGCTGAAGAAGGACCTTCATCAGTCCGAGTGCGTCGACCGGGAGGATTAAAAGGGGTACGCCTTTTTTTTGGCTTTTCCACCTTGCTCTTTTGAGCATTTTCCTTTCGTTTACGATTTGAAACGGGTCGGCGGTACACGAGGAGGTTGAGGTTCCACTGCAAAACATTTTAAAAAAAAATCAATTGATCAAATATATAATATATTATTTAAAAAAAGGAAAAGGAAAAAAAAACCGAAAACAATCGATATACTAAAACCGATTTTGTACTCAATAATCTACATTTCAACGCCGTTTTTGATTTATAAAATCGACGTTGTCTAGCCGACTTGGTTAACAAATGTCGGCATCATGACGCCGATTTTCGTTTAATAAATCGGTCTGTGTAAACCGATTTTCCGAAACCAATGAAGAATAAAAAAAAAACCAATTTCAATTTCAATTTTTTTTCCAAAATCGGCTAAAGCATTGCAACCCAACAAGAAATAAGTATAGATTAATGTTCATCCACGCATATTTATCAAGAATCGATGCTCGATTGATGTTTTCGTATTTACAAACAAAAGCTTAGTAAAAGGGACTTACTTGTTGGTGGTAGTACGGTGGTGGTGATAGTGTGGTGGAGGTGGTGCGGTGGTGGTGATGGTGCGGTGGTTGGGTTGCTGATCGTCGCCGGCGGTCTGGCGGCGGTGGGCGTGCGACATTCTTGCGGTCCTGTGTTTTCTTTTTTTATTTTTTTATTTTTTGGTCTTGAACAAATTAAAAATAGGGTTTATTTGTGTTTGGGTATTATTTGTGAATAATTGTATATTCGTCATCTTTGGTCTTAATGTAATAAAATTAGATTAATTTACGAGCTTGAACTAATAAATATCTTTATATGGGTTTGAACTAATAAAAAAATTGGGCTTGCATATAACCAACCCCTATAGGAAAATATTTGGAAAGTTTAGTAATAGTCTATATTTTAGAGACTCTTTAGCAATGTTTTCAGATCCGGACCGGCTATAGAATCGGACAACTATTTAGATCATGGGTTTATAGGGTCGAACCGGTTCAACCAGGTTTTTAATTTTTTTTTAATATGTCGTTATTTTATTAATTTTAATATTTTAAAAATATTATTTTCTTTATATTTTTAATCTGTCACTTATTATTTTCACTTTTATCTACTTCACCTCACTTTTTACTATATTTTATTGCTTATACTCTATATTTTTTCATTTTTTATTCTTCAAATCCGGCAATCGGCCACCCCTATTCGATCACCCTTGATCATACAATCCTTCGACCACTCATGACTAGATCCGGCCACCCACTACTAAGTCTGTGAAGATTCGTTCAAATCTAGCCACAAATAACTAACTCAGCGGTGATTCGAGACGTTTTGGCCGAAAACCGGGTTCTTTGACTGACTCGTCGGTTCTCAGGTTTTACCCGGTCGAACCGGATTTTGGTCATTTGACCCTGATTTTTTATTTTTCCGGTTTTAGATGTCAGACCGGACCACTTTATTGCCGGGTCACGGTCGAACCGGTCCGACCGACCGATTCGGTCCGGTTCTAACAACATTGCTCTTTAGGACCTCCATTGGTGTTGAGTTTTTTACCAAAGTTCCTAAAATATGGAACCGAACGAAACCGAGGTCAACGGTTTTTTAACTAAATCGGAATCGGTTTGACCGGAACCGGAACCGAAATCGAAACCGAAAAAATCGGCTCAGTTCCAGTTCCCCATTTTTGTCACAGCTAAACGCCATTTAGAACGATCAAACCAATTTAAAAAAAAAAAAGAAAAAGAAATTAAAAAAATTACATATTAATTATAAACACAACTAATGTTTCCTTTGTCTTTTCATAAGCCTTTTCAATTTCTTTCTTTTTCCTTTTTTAAATTTTAAAATTACAACTAATTTCTTCAATTTTTTTAAAAATACAAAAATATTTTTTTAAGTTTTTTTAAAAAAACTTGTATTTTTTTAATAAAAAAATTAAGTATTTTAAGTATTCTTTTCACTGTTTAAAAAAGAATTAAGCATCTTTTAAAGTATTTTTTTCAGTTAAATAAACAAAAAATTATGAACCAGGAACCAAACCGTGATCATGTCTACCACTTAGTGATACGAGTATTTCGAGTAATAAAAATATAATGTCAATATAATATTTTTTAATAAAGTAAGGATCAAATTCGGACATACAATATAAATGATATGATACAAAAGTTTATTCCATATTACAATTTCAATGATATGATACACAAATATTATATAACTTCAGAATCGCAGATTAACCAGTCTGTATAATCCCTATGCTATACGCACAACAACTCGGCGACTTAAAAAGAATGCTGCTCCTCAATTAATCGACCATGCAATTATTGCATGAAATTATTATATATCTATTGCATGAAATTATTATATATCTATTGCTTACTTATCGATCAATTATTTCTTCGTTCGACTAAAAACGGCTTGAAAGTGAGCACAACCGCGATTGCCTCGATTACATTTAGGATCAAGAAAACCATTTGATCGCCTGCATCGACAGAACCATTTAAAATCTTGCATCTTGCGCCAATATATATATATATATATATATATATATATATATATATATATTGCATCACTTGCAATAAACTTTAGTGAAAAAAAATATACCTGGAAGAAAATTAGCATGCTGGCGTTTCTGCCCCCACGAAAATCTGCATGAATTGAGTTTACATATTTAAAAATATTTACAAGTTTAAGTTATTCTATTAATTGAGATGAAGAAAGTAAATTAAATTTTACGAAAGGGGTCGAAACTTACAGCATTCCTCCGCCAGCTGGACCAACAGCTTTGAAAAGTGACACTAAGGTCATGGCTATACCGTTAGCACCTCCTCTTTGGTCTTGGTCCTGTGCTCGTTAATTTATGGATGTATTTAATTTAATCGCGTAAAACGTGGAAATATATATATATATATATATATATATATATATATATATATATATATATATATATATATATATAGGAGAAAGAGAAATATAAACTTACGGAGAAAACATTCTTGATGAGAGACGCACAATTCAAGACTATGGAGAGTGTGACACCGGATAGCATGGCGATGTAGTGATAACTTGTTAATAGAGGAATCGAAATGATCTGCATTCGAGAGCGAACCTTATTAATTTTTAAATAAAATACATACTATATAGATTATCTGAATTTTGAAGTTTGTACCCCTAAAATTCGAGAGAGCATGATAGGGCCCGTGATTTTCTCCACAACTGGATATATCGAAGACTGAAAAACTAAAAGCCCAAAACCTGAAATTCGAAACAAAACGTAAATTAAATGGTTTGAAGTGTCCTAAACATTTGGAGATATGCCGTAATAAATGCGCGTAAGAAATAGGGGAACGATTTTTTTTGCTTGTAACCGGAAGATTTAACTGAATTCTAGTGCCACTTTTTATCTACAAGCGACGACGAAAATGTAGCAGGCCCAAATATATATATATATATATATATATATATATATATATATATATATATATATATATATACCCGAGATTGCGAGAACTGTTCCGACATCTTGAGTAGTATAACTTAAGCCTCCGAGCCTTCTTGGACTCTCAGCCCACAACGAAAATATCTGTTCAAAGTATAATTATGAACGTAAATCGAAACTGAAAAGGTCAAAATTTTATTATTATTATTAGGGTAAATTACGACCACCCCGAGGTATTGTCAAATTACGAAAAAAAAACCCTATGTTTGGATAATTACAATTACCCCTATCAACTATAAATCTTCTTACACGTCCACCCTTATGGTGTCAAATTCAACATAATCTTCTAGATTCCGTGGAGTGTTCTCTAGTTTGTACTCGTTTTCGTGCAAAAATGCAGTTTTTGATGCACCACAATCTGATATATACAAGCCAAAAAACACATCTTATGATCATCTTGCGTCAAAATGTGGAGCTCGAATGCGATAAAACGGGTACAAATTTAAAATATTCCATATAATCTAGAAGATTCCAAAAAATTTGGCATCGCAAGGGCGGACATGTAAGAAGATTTATAGTTGAGGGGTGGTTGTAATTACCCAAACATGAGGTGTTTTTTCGTAATTCGATCATACCTCAAGGAGTGGTTGTAATTTACCCTTATTATTATTATGAAGATCAAAAGATTAGTTACCTCCGTATAAGCCATGTCATGAAGTGAGAAAATACAGTATACGAAGATGGATGACATTAGTGGCCAGTTCTTTAAAAGGTTTTCTTTAGAATTACTTTTTTGCCCCTCCGTCTCTTCTTTCCCTCCACACTCCAAACCATCATACGAATCTCGAGACGCTATTTTCTCCGACTTATGTGTGTGCAGTGTTTCCTGCATTTCTCAATAATTATAGCCAATCAATCAGCACCGAAAACAATTCAGACACTCATCATTCCCCCACCCTCTTTCGGATGCAGTTTTTTGTATTTTTTTTTAAATAAGTAAAGAAACATTATATAGACAAGAAAACTAAACAGCGTTATCAAAATTTCATATCCGACACATAAAGTACACTTAGGTACAAAAGGACGTACCGGGATCCAGAAGCAAGCGACAGTTACAACAGCAGCAAAGAGTGAGATTATCAGACAGGGTAGAAGGTACGGAAATCTACAGAAATAATTTACTTGTGTTTCAGAATCTGAAGATAGTTATGCAAAACAAGTAAGAAAAACAGTAATATGTATAGAATAGTACCTTGCAAAAATAGAATCTTGCGTGAATATTCCGGGATATTTCTCTGCAGGCTTAGTCCAGACATTTTGCGTGAGAAAAGCAGACGAAACAATAAACGCAGAGGAACACACACACAGACACACACATATATATCTATATAACGCATATATTTGGGTCATATATTTCAGAATCTCAACATTCAGATGGAATCCCTTCAAGAAAAAAATGACGATGGAATACATATATATACATATATATATATATATATATATATATATATATATATATATATATATATATATACAAGTACCTGAGCCAGAAAGCCACCCAAAGCTGGTCCGATGATTAATCCTGTACCCCACGCGGTGCTAACCTAAATAAATATATTTAAATTCTCAGAAAAAAAAGGACATTAAAAATGGTATATAAGACATTAAAAATTAATGTGTGTTTACCGCAGACAATCCTAAGGACTGGTGCTCCTCACGAACAGTTTCACAAATAACAAAACGCCACCGTATCTTCCATGAATCCACACAAAACCCCAAAAAACAAAAATCGAAATTCAAAAAAAAAAAAAAAAAAAAAAAAAAAGATGGAGAATTAAATAAAATTACCAGTGGAGAGCACAATAATCCAAACAATAAGAACTTGTTTAATTGGTAACCCTCTTTGGATTTGTTTATACTGATCAACCTTGCATCCAGGGCAACCCTCGATGTACTCATTCTTCTTCAGCAATTTCTCCACAAGCTCTTCTTCGCCCATTCTTCCTTTTTTCAAGAGTGAGAGAGAGAGAGTTAGAGAGAGAAAGAGAGAGAGACACCTATATATACATATACATACATGCAGAGAAATATTTATTACGAGCGCAAGGTGGTTGATGAAATGTCAGGCTTAAATGGCAGCCCAATTTTTAATTGTCACTTCAATATTAAAACTCGGAATTGTATCTTGTTTTCTCTAGTACACTTAATCAAATCAAATTCCAAATAATCTTTCTACCCAATCAAATTTATCCAATATCTCTCTCTCTTTCATATTTTAACAAAAAATAAAATAACCACATATATATTATTTATTGTACAAACTCGGATTCTAAACAACCACCACCGTTGTAGCCGCCGTCAGGGGCAGACCCAGGAAGTATTGGGAAGGGGAGCTAGAATATTTTTTTGGACTAAAATGATACAAAATTTTAACTTTGGGAGCTAAAGTGTATAAATTAATTGAAAAATAACACAAAATATTAAAAAAAAATAATAATAATAAAGAGGTTAAATAAAAATCCTCCAGGCAGGGCCCCGAAGTCATACCTTGGGTCCGCCCCTTACAGCCGCCAATGACTAGTAAGATTCAAATATCAAACTAAAGAAAAAAAATCAGTACCTTCTAATTACTGACAACAAAGTAAAAATATGATACGCAACATCTAAATGCAAATAATAACAATAAAAATAAAAAATAAAAAGATAATAGATATCACAAAATGCAAAAGACAACAATAAAATTATAAACTACTCCCTCAATGAAAAAGTGCAGTTTGCAAAAAAAATTACTATTACAGATTACAATTTGCGATTGATTTACAGTGATAGTTGAAGCAAAATCAATTAAAAAATGCAAACATAAATTATGACTCCACTACATATAAATACAGTGATAGTAGCAAAAAATCCCACTTTTTTACTCTTTGTTGTTCGATTTTAACTCTTCCACCAAGATATCATCTCATAACATAAAACTTCTATTTTCTTTTTCTTCTTTATAACATTTCTTCAACCTATATACATCTAATAAAATGAGGTTGCACTTATATAAATTTTACATAAAAGATGTATAGCCAATTATTCCAAAAACAAAATTAGCTAACCAAAAGTTAATATTATTTTTATTGGACATGATTTAAGAGAGGCCGTGCAAAACTATAACTCACCTATCTAAAATTGGGTTACTTCGATCCACACTCAGTGAAAAACACCAGGTGGGTCTTCTGCTGCCACGTGTTTTTTTTTTTTTTTTTCTAAAACTCCTAAAGATAAACCCAGCGAAAAATCTATTATAAAATACAAAAAAAAGACACGTGTTAGCAGAAGACCCACCCAATATTTTTCATCGGGTGTAGGGTCGAACAAATCCTAAAATTGCGTCATTGCATATGTATGTCGTGATAAAATTGGAGTTATACCATAAAATAAATAAACCAATTTTTTAATATATATATTTTTTTAAATTATGGTCAACTCGAATCTCTGTCATTGAGTGTATAGTTCTTGTCCTTTATTTAGTTTAGGGTAAATTACAAACACCCCCTGAGGTATGGTCAAATTACAAAAATCCTCCTCTTGTTTGGATAATTACATCTACCCCCCTCAACTACGATTTTTTCTTACACCTCCACCCTTATTGTGCCAAACTCAACATAATCATCTAGATTATGTGGAATGTCCTCTAGTTTGTACTCGTTTTGTGTAAAAATACAGTTTTCGATGCACCACAAACTGATATATACAAGCTAAAAATCACATATTATGATCATCTTGCTTCATAATGTAGAGTTTGAATGGGATAAAACGGGTACACAAGTGATAATATACCATAAAATCTCGAAGATTCCACTAAATTTGAGGAGTTGAGGGGGTGGTTGTAATTATCCAAACAAGAGGGGTATTTTTGTAAATTGACCATACCTCAGGGGTGTTTGTAATTTACCCATTTAGTTTATTGTCAATTTGAAGATGCTATATCACTCAGACATGCAGAATAACGTGCCACTAATTTAGCATCTAATCTAATCTTCTTTGTTTTTTTCTTTTTTTTAAACAGGAAAACAACAAATATATTACTTAATTACGAGTTTCGTACAAGAGCAATTGTAGATCTTGCGAAAAATTGCAATCCGAAAAAGTTGAGGGATGGTTGTAATTACTCAAACAGGATCGAGTTTTTCGTAATTTGACCATACCTCAGGGGTGGTTGTAATGAAGATCAAAAGATTAGTTACCTCCGTATAAGCCATGTCATGAAGTCAGTGGCGGAACTTAATAGGGGCATGGGGGGCCGTTGACCCCCCAAGCAAAAATTTTTTTTTAGATATTTGGTACTAAATTTTTTGAATATTATTTTTAGCCCCCCAATGTTTTTGTAAATATTTACTTTGACCCATTATTTTTTTGTTTTTTCTTCAAAATCTTATATAAATTATAGATAAATACAAAACAAAATAAGATTTTTTTCGAAGAAAGAATTGACAACTGCAATTTAATTTGTTGGACCTACCATGTCAAGTCTCAGTTTAATTAGTAGGGTTAATTACGATTACCTACCCCTCACGTAACATGAAATTATAAAGTTTTTTTTTTTTTTTAATGTTTTGGTTATTACAGATATTTTCTCAATTACGAATCTTTTTATACGTTTATTTTTACGGTGTTAAATTTAGTAGAATTTTTTAAATTATGTGACATATTTTTCAGTTTCTACATGTTTTACCTCATTCGAGCACCACATTTTGAAACAAGATGATCATAAAATATGTCTCTTGGCTTGTAAATGTCAAATTGTGGTGCATCAGAAACTGTATTTTTACACATAACGAGTACAAACTAGAGAACATTCCGCGGGATCGACAAGATTATGTTGAATTTGACACCATAAGAATGGACGTGTAAGAAGTTTTTTAGTTGAGGAGGATGGCTGCAATTACCCAAACATAAAGAATTTTTTCGTAATCTGATATTATCTAAAGGGGTGACCTGAATTTAGCCTTTAATAATATATAGAGAGTATATTGTCTCATATAGTGGTCTGAAAGAGCCGAGCTCGAGCTCATGGAGTTTTTTTTCTTTTTCGGCTCGAGCTGGAACTCGAGCCCAAACTCAATTTGGGTTTTTTTCTTGTTTAATTTTTAAATTTTATTATTAAAAAATAGTTAGATTATAATAACAAAAAATCAAAATAATAATAAAATGTTTAATTATAAAAATACAAATTCAATTTTAATAAGAATATCATTGTGTATTTTTGGGTGATTGTTTGAAGAGATTGGTTAACATAAAAATAAAAAAGGGCAATTTGTTATTGGTCTATCTATATTTTATTTTATGTGAATATATCTGAGTTAAAATTTCTATATTTTAATAAATTAATTATATTTATTAGGCTAAAAATAACTTTAATTAAATCAAATCACAAAACATTCTCTACCAAATCAAATTACTCCATACCTTTATCTTCCAAATTTTAACAAAAAATAAAATTAATTTGTAAAAAAAAAACAATACAATTTATTAGGGATGGTTTCGGTACGGTTACCGAACATTTTGTTCAATACCGTGTACCTACCGTATCTTTCGGTATTGAAAAATTCTATACCGTTACCGTACCAATAATTGCGGTATACCGTTATTCGGTATACCGTAAGTTTCGGTACGGTATGATCGTTACGTGGTAATCTACCGTACATTATTTTTTTGATGAAGTCGGATGATACCATAATTAAGATGAATACTAAATAAATGCATAAATACAACAAATTAAGCAAATGAATATGGTGATCGATCAAGCAATCTACATGAATATACATTATACAACCGTAGTAGCATATGTTGCTTTAGTTAACTAATGCTTACTAAGATATCTATAGAAAAATTGTAGAAACTTGTAATGAACAAAAAAGTTTGATGGTTTAAGTAAGAGAAATAAAAAAAAAAAAATTGCAATAATGCAAATGAAACAGAAGACTGGGAACTCAGGGGGAGAGAAAGAGAGAATAAAATATGGCAAAAAATATTCCACCAATAAGTGATTAATTGGACTTTGAAACTAAAGAAGTACGTGACATAAACATCTTTAACGAGAGATAATATTGAGTTTGCATAAATATATGAAGATAATAAAAAAATTATAATTATGTATATATAATATATATATGATGTATCATATCGTTATTCTTGTTTTTTATTTTCTTTATAATATTTGTTGACTATATTTTTTTTTATCTAAAGTTGAATATAAAGTATAAAGTTGAATATTTGTTGAATATATTAACTAATTTAAAAATACAAAGTTGCGGTACGGTACGGTATTACCATGGTATTGAAGATACAATACCGCTACCGTACCGTAAGACAATGGTACGGTACCGATACCGTACCAAATGTAGTGGTAACCGATAGTTCGGTATTTATTCGATAACTTATGATAGGTATACCGTGGTAATCGGTATTTGATAATTTTTGCCCAGCCCTACAATTTATTGTACAAACTCAGACTCTGAAAAAACCAACACAACCCCAGCAATAGCAACCGTGCCGCCGCCGATTTAAGAGAGCCCGTGCAAAACTAAACCTCACCTATCTAAAATTGCGTCATTGCATAAAATTCGAGTTATTCCATAAAATAAAAATAAATAAATCATTTTTTTTAATATTTTTTATTTTTAAAGCATGATCGGACTCGAATCTCTGTCATTGACTGTATACTGTATAGTTCTTGTCGTTTAATTTATTGTCGATTTGACTAATTTAGCATCTAATCTTTTTGTTTTTTTTTTTCTTATTTTTAAACAGGAAAACAAGTTAACAACAAATATATTACTTAAAAACGACGAGTTTCGTACAAGAGCAATTGTAGATCTTATGAAAATTTCCAAAAGAGCTAAATAAATATGTATATATTTGCCCAATTGCATTTACAATAATGCATTTTTGGATGGAAGAATTTTAGGAAGAAATTTTAAATTCGCAATAAACAAATTTATTTGGGCATCTTCCATCCTCCTCGTATCCCATTTTCACGTAATTTAAATGTGTTTAGCCTCCCAACTATAATCACTAAATTATCATTACAATTAAAATTATGATGATTTGGCTTTAATCTCCCATTGTGGTCAAACCGGGACATTTTTTTTTTACAATATTTCGGATTTTTTTTTGAGAATTGGGGTGATTTTGTAATTATTTACAAAAATACAATAAAGCGTCGTTTAAAACGACGTGCTTTGCGGGCCGTTGGATTGAGCTGAGATTGACGGCCAGATCTCTCCTATCTTGTCTTCTTAATCTGACGGCCAGAGATTAATCTGGGCAATCGGACGGCCGTTAAAAGGCGTCATTCAAAACGACGCCCTTTGACCCGCCACACTGGATTACAGCGTCATTTAATATGACGCCTTTTACCAGCCGTTGGATTGTGTTTATATCAACGGCTAGATTTGAGCTAAGGTTTTTTAAATTTACTTAATTCTTTTTATTGTTAAATTGGAATACTTAATTGAATTTTAATTTTAAATTAATTAGATATTGTATTTTAAAAATTTTCCTTCATTTATTTATGCAATTTATTTTATAATTCACTATAAAATAATACGAATTTGGAACATTTTTTTTCATTTCAATTTCCGATATTCCGATTTCTGATTTTTTCGATTATTTTTGGAACGGAATTGGAATTACATATAAAATTATTGGAAATTCCGATTTCCGATCCGATTGTATTTCTGAAATAATCATGTTTGAATTATGTTGGAAATATATATATATATATATATATATATATATATATATATATATATATATATATATATATATATATATATATATATATATATATATATATATATATATATATATATATATTTATGTATATATTTACTAGTGATGTTTTGCAAGAATTATAGTTGCTTTGATAAATCAATTATGTTGTTTTTACACGTGTTTAAATTTTATTTGAATGAACTTTGCTTTGAATTCTCGCCTTTTGCCGGAAAATTATGAAAATATTAAAAAACAATACTAAACATTACCATTATTTCCGATTTTGGAACAAAACATTAAGAATTAATGCAATTTCCGAAAATTCTGAAATTCCGTCGATTCCGAGGTATTCCGAAATTGGAATGGATTTTGAAATTCCGATTTTTTTGGAACGTAAATTGGAACCTATTTTTAACTTCCGAAAAAATTGGAAAATTTCCAAAAAAGGCATTTCCGATCCATTCCGTCCGATTTCCATATTTTATTAAATAAAAATAAAATGCCTAATTATTGGGAAATATTTTTTGTCTCTAAATCCTTTAGTTTATTTAATTTGTTTTTTATTGAATAACTAAAATACTAAAAAGTTTTAATAAATAACCAACATAAACTACAATAATAATATCACCAATGACGGTGACCTCCGGTGCCACATCTCGGGGGCCTTCTAGTCCTGTGCCCTCTACCAACTTGTTCATCCTCATCACTCGAAGAATTTGCGGATTGAGAATAAGGAATAGGTGTGATCTGATGATCTACTGGTCGCGAAGACGAAAACTGATGCGTAGACCCCAAATGAACTGGGTCTTCCGAATTCATATTCGGATTAAACTAGGGGTATGGGGTGTACGGATCTGCATCAACGAGATTATAATTATACTCACAGTTATAAATAGTATTAAAAATAAAATCAAAGGTACTAAACATACCAGATGGATGCCCGTGCGATCTAGGATCTGTATAATTATCGAATGCCGGATAATATGCACGAGAAGAAGTTTCTGCCTCGCCAGCGTACATCTGAGTCTGTGACTGAGGCATTTGAGACAGTGGTATCTGAGTCTGAGTCTGAGGGTGAGTCTGAGTATAAGGCATCTCAGATTGAGGCCTATCTGAAGGTCCGTGTCGAGACTCTAAGACATTAAGACATGTTCTGAGAGTCGGTAAATACGAACGATAGCCATCCCGGGGCATGTCTCCGCCATCAACAGAAACAATCAACGATCGAAGATGCTGAATCTGAAATAAGTAATAAGAAATATTTTATTTTTAGAAGACATACATTAATAAAAATTATAAAATACACAAAATTTTATAATAAATAAATTTGAATACGTACCACTGTATCCATTGAAATCTGACCTCCAACCTGAAATCCTGTACGATCAGATGGGGTAATCGGTGATATGAAACGACGTGTGTGCAGTTCATACCACTCAAAATAACCATCTTCTGTAGTCTGACTGTCACTGGCATATGGATAATCAATAGTATAATTGAGCCTATTATCCCAAGCGGTAACATGCGAAACATGTGTAAGACTCCAGTCTCGGTTGGTAGCACCTGTACGGTAAGCATTGACGTGCATCCGGAAATCTGTCTCAGTATTTTCAGGAGGTTCAGGTATGGGTTGTACCATCCCGAACTGACGTACTACTCTGTCTGGTCGATGCATCTCCACAATTGCGTAGCATATAAGGGGGACTCTCGATACGCATATACCTGAACATATGATATCCGAATCACCACCTACAGCCTGATACTCCTGATCATCCATATCATATGGCATCCATATAAACTGATCTGGGAGCATCTGATCCAACATCATCCTAAAAATACGAAGAACATGTGCACCAGTCTCAATGAAGCTGACATGGTTGGTCCACCTGTGATATATTATTATATATTAAACTAAAGATAATAATAAAGATAATAATACGAAGAACATGTGCACCAGTCTGAATGAAGCTGACATGGTTGTCGATGAAATGTAAAATCCACAATAGCTGTGACAGGCAGTTTACGAGCACCTTTCAAAGCACCATTGATGGACTCGGACAAGTTGGTCGTCAACTGACCGCGTCGAGACCCTCCATCATGTGCTAAAGTCCACTTTTCTCGATCCATGTTCATCAAGTATCTGTGTGCATTGGGATTTTCCTCCCCAATCTTGTCCAAATACCGGTTCAGCTTCCAAACCTGAGATTGTTTTCCAGCAGCGTAACAAAAATCTTTCACCACAATGCTCTTAAACTTGGCGTTGACATTTGAACAAACATGCCTCAAACAAAATCGATGGGTGATGCGAGGGGGCCTAAACTCGGGCATTGAATCGATGGCACTTAAAATACCGGTTCCTCGATCCGAAATTATACAAATACCATCTGATATGCCCGAAAGTAAATGTTTGTCAATGCATTTGAAAAACCACTTCCATGCACTTGCGGTCTCTTCATCAACAATTGCATACGCAAGTGGTAAAACTTGTTGATTCGCATCCAAACACACAACAAGCAACATCTTATGTTTGTACTTAGTGTACAAATAAGTTCCATCGACGCTGATCACCCGACTACAGTATTTGAAACCATCAATACACGGCTTGAAGGCCCAGAAGACGTATTTGATTATGAATTTCGATGGATGATTTGTCGCGTGATGTTCCCACTCAACAGATGTGCCTGGATTCCTTTGTTGCAGTGCTTTCATAAATTTTGGCAACTTCTAGACCGAACTCTCCCATGTTCCATATACATTTTCTCTGCATCGCTTCAAAGTGTACCATGCCTTCATGTAGGATATCTCATATCCTATTTGCGCGGTCACAATCTCTCTTGCCTTTGAAATCTCACAAACTGGATTTTCACGAACACTTTTCAATAGAATTGCGGCGCAATAATTGATGTTCAAGTTGCCATGATTATTTGTCATCCCTTGCATACCGCAACTATGATCGCCATCGTAGATCCCAATTCTAAATTTTCCTCTATCCCCAATTCTTGATGCCCTTAGCCTCCATCTGCAAGGTCTTGCTTCAGTGTCGTGTTTGCAAATAACCTTCCAAGTTCTTTTTGTACTTTCGATAACTTTAAACTCTCTTCTGGCAAATCGAATGGAGTGGTCTCTAACGGCTGAAATGACCCTTGCTTTACTATCAAAAATCATCCCCTTTTCGAGAGTACCTTTGCTGCTATCATAAAATTTTGACCACATACCCGACGGAACATCAATGGAATCGGCTGGGATTTCAGGAAATGACAGAGAGTAGAACGAAGGTGGATCATAAAACTGAGTAGGAGGTTCTGCAAATGATGGATTGCTGACATGAACATGGGAAGTTGATGGAATTTCTGGCTGCGATATTGTTTGTACAACGTCATCAACGGCTTCGATATTCTCATCATTGTTCTCTTCACCACTATCATCATCGTCTCCATGGTCGGAGGGTTCAGAGTCGCTTCGAACATTTGGCCCATGTGCGTCTCCGAAAGGATCATCGTCATCATTATTATCACAATGACGAGTTTCATTAGGAAGATCAAAATTTTCATGAGCATTTCTCATGCCACTTGATTCCCCAATATGTACCCCAAGATTTTGATAAGAATGCCTCGATGGCCCCGCTTCAAAGACCATATTAGAAAACCCTTGTGTAACCGCAACTAACTCATGGTAAAGTTCAATTTAAACGACAAAATTGAAGTTTCAATTCATTTTGATATTTTGCTATATAGATATTGATTATTATCCCCATCCATAAACTTTTTTTGCCATATTTATTAATTTAACTTTATATTTTTATGTAATATGGTTTTATATTTATCTTATCTCAGTTAATGTTGAAGTTTGACGAATCTTCTTCTTTACCACTCATAACAGACCTCAGTAAATTTACTGGAAATCCATGATGCCATGAAATCTCAAAAATTTATCAGGAGCAACTTTACTTTTATGGGTAAATTACAAACACCCCCTGAGGTATGGCCAAATTACAAAAACAACCCTCTTGTTTGGATAATTACAACCACCCCCTCAACTCGTCAAATTTAGTGGAATCTTCGAGATTATATGGAATATTATCACTTTTGTACCCGTTTTATCCCATTCAAACTCTACATTATGAAGCAAGATGACCATAATATGTAATTTTTAGCTTGTATATATCAGTTTGTGGTGCATCAGAAACTGTATGTTTTACACAAAAAGAGTACAAACTAGAGCACATTTCACGGAATCTAGATGACTATGTTGAATTTGGCACCATAAAGGTGGAGGTCTAAGAAAAACTCATAGTTTAGGGGGGTAGATGTAATTATCCAAACAAGAGGGGTTTTTTGTAATTTGACCATACCTCAGGGGGTGTTTGTAATTTACCCTTACTTTTACTAATAAGATAAGAACCAAATATTTTTCAAATAATTAAATAATATTTCCATCAAATTAATATTAAGTAAAAATGACAATTTTGGTGGGAAAAAATACGTAAATTTGGGGCGAAAAAGTCTGGATACTTAACAGATTTATTAAACTAGATTATATTAAATATAGTAAAACAATAAAATTAATTAATTAAATAAATGACAATAATAATTTATAACTATCAAATGAGCGAAAAAAATTTCATAGGGTTTAGCAGGAGCAACCTTACCTTTATTAATAAGAAAGCAACTTTACTTTCATTAATAAGATAAGAACCAAATGTTTTTCTAAACAATTAAATAATTTTGCCATCAAATTAATATTAAGTAAAATGACAATTTTAGTGAGAAAATATTACTTTTATTAATAAGATAAGAACCAAATGTTTATCTAAACAATTAAATAATTTTTCCATAAAATTAATATTAAGTAAAATATTAATTTTAGTGAGAAAAGATATGTAAATTTGGAGCCATAAAGTATAGATACTTAACGGATTTATTGAACTTGATTATAATAAATATAATAAAATAATAAAATTATTTAATTAAATAAATGACAATTATAATTTATAACTAACATTTGATGAGCAGGAAAAATTTCATAGCGTTTAGCATGAGCAACCTTTATTTTATTAATAAGATATTAAATGAAAATAAGTAATAAGAATAAATAATTAAATAAATAAATGAAAATTATAACTATCAAATAAGCGGGAAATTTTTTCTAGGGTTTAGCAGGAGCAACCTTACTTTTATTAATAAGATAATTGTCATTTATTTGTTTAATTATTTGATTATTTTTATTATTTTATTTCATTTAATCTTATTAATAAAGTAATGTTGCTAAATGTAAGGTTGCTTGTAAACTCTAGGAAATTTTTCCTGCTCATTTAATAGTTATAATTGTCATTTATTTGTTTAATTATTTGATTATTTTTATTATTTTATTTCATTTATTCTTATTAATAAAGCAATGTTGCTCCTGGTCAATCGTAGGAAATTTTTTCCGTTCATTTGATAGTTATAATTATCATTTATTTATTTAATTAATTTTATTATTTTATTTTATTTAATATAATCAAATTTAGTAAAAGTAAGGTTGTTCCGTCTAAACCATAGGAAATTTTTCCTGCTCATTTAATAGTTATAATTGCCATTTATTTTTTTAATTATTTAATTATTTTTGTTATTTTATTTTATTTAGTCTTATTAATAAAGCAATGTTGCTCCTGCTAAACCCTATAATTTTTTTTCCGCTCATTTGATAGTTATAATTGTCATTTATTTATTTAATTAATTTTACTATTTTATTTTATTTAATATAATCAAGTTTAGTAAATCCGTTAAGTATCCAGATCTTTTGACCCCAAATATATCTACGTATCTTTTCCCACAAAAAAATGTCATTTTACTTATTATTAATTTTATGAGAAAATTATTTAGTTGTTTAGAAAAATATTTAGTTGTTATCTTATTAATAAAAGTAAAGTTGCTTTTGATAAACTTTTAAGAGTTAATGACATCGTTGATTTACTGAGTCCTGTTATGGGTGATAAAGAAGAAAATTCACCAAACTTCTACATTAACTGAGATAAGATAAATATACAACCATATTACATTAAAAACATAAAATTAAATTAATAAATATGCAAAAAAAAGTTTATGGAAGGGAGATTATCATCAGTATAGCAAAGCATCAAAATGAATTGAAAATTCAATTTTGTCTTTTAAATTGAACTTTACTTTGTATTAATTTTACTTCAATCTCGTGCATCGCACCGGCCAAAAATCTAGTATTTTTTTAAAACGAAAATGCTTCATTCTTTTTAATCTTCATTATTGAATATCCTGCCAGGCCCAAGACAAGAGAAAGCCCAAGACAGATAGGCCTTGAGTAAAAGAAAGAAATTAGATTAACAGTGTTCTTCGGTGTTCCTTGAAATAGCAACTATTTAATGACTTTAATATTTTGATAATTTGGCTCTTTCCATTTTTCTTTAATGAAATCTAGGGTTGTGAATAGGGGTGAAAGTCGGATGGATCGGGTCGCAATTAGCATTTTCGGAAAATTTCCAAAAAAAATCGGAAGTACAAAATCAATTCCAATTCCAATCCCAAAATTTTCGGAATCTAAAAATTCATTCCAATTCCAAAAGTCCCGGAAATTTCGGAAATCACATAAGCTTTAAAATTTCAAAACTTAGCCGAAAGTTTATAAAATTTTTAATTTTTCTCAAAAATAAGAACATCCACGTCGATAAAAGTAAAACTAATAACTCCTAAATTTCAGTTCAAAAAAATAAATAAACATTAAACACAACATAATATCCAATAAAACTTCTAACAACAATTCATTTTGTCAAAATCATAAAACAAAACTTATAGGTGTATTTTTTGGAAAATAAGTATTATACAATATATATTGTTTATAAGTATATTTTTCGGAAAAAAAAAATCGAAATTTTTCGGAATTAAATCGGATCAGAAATCGGAAATTCCAAATTTATTTTATATAATTCCAATTCCAATCCAAAAAAAATCGGAAAAATCCGGAAATCGGAATTTCGGAAGTCGGAATGAAAAAAATTGTTCCAAAATCGGAACTTTTTGGAACGGAACCGGCGGAAATTAGAAATTCCGTTCCAACTTGCACCCCTAGGTGTGAACGAGCCGAGCCTGCCTCTTTTGCAGGCTCGGACTCAAGCTCGAGTTTATTTTGTCGAAATCGACCTTGAGTTCGTCGAGTTCCTTCTTTTTTGGCTCGAGCTCGAGCTCGAGCCCAAGCTCATTCTGTTTTTTTTTTTTCTTTAATATTTTTTTAAATATTATTTTATTATTATTAAAAAAATTAAAAAATTACAAAATAAACAATAAATTGGCCGAGGCAGTCCAAAACCGGCCGAGCCAGTCCAAAACCTTTACGATTTTAGTTTAAAGGTTTGAAAAATCGGTTTTTTTGCCTGTGAGGCGGTTTGAGGCGGTCCGAGGCGGTCAAACCTTTAAGGCGGGTCAAACTTCGGTGGCAAAAATCGGCAAAAAATTCGGTTTTTTTTTATTTTTTTTTATTTTTTATAAATCAAAATAAAAGTTGAGATTTTAATAAAAAAAAAAATGAGTATATGCTTTATTTTGTTTATGTTAATTATTGTCGTTAAAGAACTAATGATGTATGCCAAGAATGTATGTAAATTCAAAAAAATGCCTTTTTATTTATATTTTATAAGAATATTTATGTATTTTGATATTATTATTATTACACTTTTATTATGTTATTAGAATATATACATG